TAAACACACACACAAAACTTAACATGCGATTCTTTTATTGCTTTATTTAAATGTTAAAATAAACACAAAGAGCTCACTCACGATTTCAGCTTCTCTATCTCATCAGGATTATACCTTTAAAAAAAACATGAAAATTAAAAGTCAGAAAATCTTAAAAGTTAGCATGTTTTTGTTTTTTTCCTGGAACACTCACTTGCCGACGTGGTTGCGGTTGTCGTACATCCGCAGAACTCGCCTGTAGACGGCGAACAGCGGCCTGTTTAACCCCAACGCCACCGAGCGGTAGAAATCCTTCCTCTCCTCTTTGGACATCTCGAAAATGATCTCTGCCGGGTCTTCGATGCCTCGGTCCTGAAACACACAAACACACGCTCACACAAACACGTACAGAACAAAACATAACACAAAGACAGGAAGTAGCGTACCTTCACATATCGGTCGATGTTGCTCATCAGGAGGTCGATCTCCTCTTTGGACCACATGCCCTGCTTCCACTTATGACCTGAGGAGGAGAGGAAGTTAAGAACTAGAACCCAGGATCTCACATTTTCATAAAGACATAATGAAAGAAACGTTTCCTACATGTTCTCGTCTCAGGAGAAGAATCTGTAGAACTGATATTTTAGTTCGTCTCTGATCATTGGTGGAATGTACCTTTGTTGGCCAACGTGTCTTTGTCTTCTTTTGTTGTGAACCAGGCTTGACTCACAGGGGACACCTCTGCCTTCTGACTGGACGACAGAGCGTCATCGTCCTCCTGCAAAATCTGAGCAAACGGAGAAATGTTTCAAAACCAGACTTTGAATGAAGCGTCTGCCTCCTCCATGTCAGCAGACGGGACATGGTCCAAATAGAAAAGTCAAGTGAAAAGTTAGACTTTCTCAACCATTGGACCCCCCCCCCCTCCGTCCATTTTAGGCCGTGAGCGCCCTCTAGCGGGCCGTGAAATGTTTTCAATTTGATTCAAACTGATGACGTACATGGCCGCGACGGCCGCGTACGTCATCAGCTTGAGACGCCCAGTTGACAGGTGAGCTAATGCTAACTGCTACACTGTGTGGAGCGATGGGAAAGTTCGTCCAGCGGAAAAACAACGACAGTAACTCTGCTAACCCACCGGAGTACGGTAAAACCCCGATTTCATTTCATGTGGTTTTGTTGACGGAGGAGACGATGGAGAGCAGAGGCCCGGAGCCCGGAGCAGAGAGCCCGGAGCCCGGAGCCCGGAGCAGAGAGCCCGGAGCAGGGAGCCCGGAGCAGAGAGCCCGGAGCCCGGAGCCCGGAGCAGAGAGCCCGGAGCAGGGAGCCCGGAGCAGAGAGCCCGGAGCCCGGAGCAGAGAGCCCGGAGCAGGGAGCCCGGAGCCCGGGGCCCAGGGTGTGGAGTGCGGCTTGACGCCTCCAAACTGAAGACGACTCCCACAGAAAGGAAAACGGACTGAAAACACAGGAAAGGTCTGTGCTTTGATTTGAAACTCTAAATGTGCACTGAGAGCCAGCTGCTGCTGGTTTAACTACTTCCTTGTTTGTATTCTACTGAATTATTAGTTCTTGTGTTGATGAACCAGACTCCAGCTTTTTGCTGCTGCAGCAGTTTGAACATGAAGAAGTCTGTTGGGTTGAACTTCATATGAATGGAGGATGTTGCATGTGCAGCTCCACAGAATCTTTCATATTATAAATCCCTCTGGACAGAGACTTAGTTTTTTCCTGTCACTCTCATATCATTTTTAAAGAACCTCATAGTTTTTTATGTAAACATTGTATTTGATGGATGTGAAACAGGGAGGGGCTTTGTTGTAGATATTTAATACAATTAAGATATGACAAAGACTAGAATCAATTAGCCAAATGTAATTACGGATATATGTGTTAATAGGGCCTCGAAGTAAAAACAGTGTGAGGTTTCTATTCTGCTGATTAAACGTCCTCTCGTGCCTGAAAGACGTAGAAGCAAAGGAAGGGAAAAAGTTTGAACTCTACCTGGATCTGAGCGACGCCCTCCTCTGTGAGGTCACTGTCTGCTGTGGCCGTCATCGTCACCTCGAAGCCTTCGTCGTTCTCTGACACTGTGGAGACGACAGAAAAAAATAAACGATAAATCGATCAGGATCTGCTGGTTTAGTTCAGACGTCGTATCAGTGATAATGTAAAAATAACAAAACAGTGTTTGTCTCACTCGGTAACGTGACGACAGAAAACTGAGGTGCTCCTGTGTTGTCCTGTTCTTCTGTCGAGAGGCGCAGCTTCTTCTCAAGGGGCTCCGACTCTTCATCTACACACACACACAAACAAACACAAAAGTAAATTAACTTTTTCTTCACTATCAGAAGTTCCCAGTGAATAAAATAGTAACAATAAACTTCTATCATGATTAAACACCAATCGTTTTGTCGTGTGTGTGTGTGTGTGTGTGGACCCACCATTGGGAGGACAGTGCAGTATGATGCTTCCATCACTGTCCTGAGTGAGCGTGACGGACTTGACGGTTTCTAACGTTGCACCGTCGTCGGCAGCCGAACTCATCCTGCAGCTGCTCACAAATAAAACACACACTGATTAAACTCACACACACACTCACTGCTCTGTCCCAGTCTCAGGTTTGTGTTGTTACTGTCTCACCACTTCATAATATTCAAAGTGTTATTACGGAAGACTGAATTGATTATAAAAATTAGTTTTAGAACAGACCAAAGTGTGAAATACAAATGCTGTAATTTTTAATAAATAATGTTAACTGTGATTACGGCTGCAAATAACTAATTGTTTATTAATGATAAAACAATCATATATTTGGTTGTACTTGTGTTTTCTTTTTATTTGTAGTTATTTATAATCAAGTTTGTGATTAAACTGTAAAATGTCAAGACTCAATTACATTTGTTTGTCACAAAGGTTTGATAACATCTTCATTATGGACATTTTATACACATCAGAATGCGTCCGGCTCTGGAAGTGATTAAATCAGACAAGTGTTTGAATGAATAATTCAAACTGATATGAGTCAGCAGGCGACACACTAACCTGGAGACATAAGAAATAAATCATCACTCTGAAATATCAAGATGACTGTGAAGAAGTTTATTTTTACACTTTTACAAAATACACATGATTATATTTCAGTGAGCATCAGTGGCCAAAGAGAAGAAACTATTTTAAAGCATGTTGTTGGACAGTTGGAGCCAAAGATTCTGTGATGACGTATCAGTGGATTTGATTAATTTAAAACTGATTTGATCAAAACAATTGTAATATTGAAATCACGTTTCATCACAACTGAGTCCAGCTTTATTTCAGACTCATTGGTCCTTATCATTATAAGAGATTAGAATAAAGATGAATGAACAGACTTTGGTTCCAGTGTTTTCAAGATAAGGATTTATTGTTACTAACTGTTTTAAATCAAATCAGCTTAAAACTATTAAAATCACTTGATAACTCTACTTGTTCACATTCATTCACTAATGTCCACTTGAATTAAACTTGAGCTGGAAGTGGTTCAGACTAAAGGCTGTCTCACAAATCACACTTTTAATTATGTGCAAACAGAATCTCAATATTCAGGATGAACGTTTATGAGTATTAAAACGAGCCTCTGTCATTTCTTTATGTGACGAATGAAAACAGATAAAATGAATAAACTAGAATTCACTGTCGCCACATCCACACATGAATGTTGAACCTGCTCCACATCACAAACACTCAGAGACCTCAGCCCTCCTCCATGTTTGCTTCTTCTCTCATCCTTAAATTCACCATTTTTTGAACGGGGTTTGGTTTGAGCTCCCATGTTTGTGTGTGTGAACCGGACACAAACGGCGAGGATGCGGCTCAGACTCCTCAGCGGAGTTTGTGTTTCTGATTCACAGTTTTTTAATGTTTCCTTCTGATCGTTGCTGGAAATAAAACCGCGCGTTTTCGTGTTAAAATCAGTCCGAAGGAAACAAACAGACGCTGAGCGGCGGTGCTAGCTGTTAGCACGCAGCTAGCCGCGCCGCTAAATGAAGAAAACTCTCCGGCGCCATGTTTAACTCGACCCGCTGGAGCTTGTCGCGTCCGTTGCGGGGTTTTCACGCACTTCTGCCGCTTTTTCGCTGCGTTTTTGCGGCGGTTTCTCTGCGGCCGGAGCTCCGGCGGCTTCCTCCGCCGAACACGAGCGGAATTTAACTTTAGATTCTCGTACTTACTTCCTGCTTTGGGTCCGGGGACTTGAGTGATGAACAAAGTACCAGGATGGAGGCTGAGCGGCCCAGGGCCCGGAGCGAGGCGGCCAGGTCCGGCCGAACATCCGTAAATCTGCTTCCACATTTAATCTTTATCTCCTGCCCTTTATATTGACTCTGGGAATCTAAAGTGTTTATTACTTCATTATTATTACAAACTGCTTCTTCTAATTCTTCTGATGTAACCTTTCTAACATCAGACCATGTTCATATGAAGCAAAGACAAGCATCACGCTGTCAAACGTAAGAAGCTGGAACTTTTCAACAGAACGAACAATGAATGAACATTAAATCAATAATTATTCACGTTAACAATTTGATTGATTGTTTTATTTCAGTCAATCGTGTTGGTTGAATATTTTTTGTAGATATTTTAACCCTAAAACGTTCCCCATCTTTATTTGTAACGTCAATTTCACAGAAGATGAGAATGTGGTTGAAAGTCCCGTAAAATATCAGTAGGAGACCTTGAGTTATGAATTATATATTTGTTTTCCTTCTAGAACTTTTTTTTAACTTTCATTATTTCTATTATTCATTTTTATTTGATGCTTTTGTGAAGAAAACTACATTTTATAAAGCTGCTTATTTGGTTTGCGTGAAAGAGTCAAACCTGGCAACCGCTTTGTGCGCTCTAAAAATCCGTCCGGGCAACAATTTAAATAATTTAAGCATTTATTCATTTCATGGAATTTAAAAACCTAAAGTTTGACTTTTTAAATTAAATGTTAAATTTGATCAATGAAACAAAGTTTGAACAAAACTTTGGCGCAACAACGCCTCCCGCTTTCTAATGACAACATTAGTTCCGCCGTGGTTTTCCGCCGGACCCTTCTTGCTGACGTACGGAGCAGTGGAGCTGCTAAAATCCAAACATCTGAAACGTTCGTGTGAAGCTTCTGTGAAACATGGAGGAGCCGCCGACCAGAGTGTGAGTCCGACTCATTCACACCTGAAACCCTCGGTGCTCATGAGCAGAGGGACCGTGTCGTTGTGTGTGTCTCGTTGTGTTGATGTGAAATGTGCGTTAAAACGTGTGTTTGCAGTTTGGCCTGTGGAGACGTGGAGGGGAGACTCAGCGCAGTTTTCAGTCGAGTGCAGAACATCCAGAAGAAAACGGGACAGTTCGACGTGAGGCTCCGCTTTTATTCTGAAACGTCTCGATATTCACACAGTGGAGAGGAAGATTCGTTGTTTTAATGTTTTATTGTGAAGGTGTGAAGGCTGCTGCTTGGATTTTACTTTTAAAACTAACTTCATGAAACATATGAACATTTTGTCTTTTTTAGCTGGGATGTAAATTTACTCCAGTATTTATTTATTTTCAATCCACTTTCAACTTTATTCATTTGACTCCTTTAGTGACTTTAAAGGGTTAAAAGTTTTCATATCCTTTTATCACATATATTTGGATTTGCTGTTTTTATTTTAACATTTTTAAAGCAGGATGAAAATGTCACTTTACTCTATTTCCTGGACTTAACAAAACTAAATAATCAACCAATGAATCAAGAAAACAAATCTACGGGTGAATAAAATAGTTCTTAGTTGCAGCTCTACAGAAAAACAGAAAATAAAAAAACAGGCTCCACCTGAAGCGACAACAGTAAAATGAGTAAAACAGATTATTATTTAAATTCTGAATTTCGTTTGTTTGTTTAGTTGTTGTTGTGCGTCGGAGAGTTTTTCGGGACGACACCAGAGGCCGAGGCCGAGTGGCAGCTTTACAAAACTGGAGCCAAGAAAGGTACGAACATCTGGATCAAACAGCTGTTTCACCACTGGCAGGTTTGGTCCCACGAGCTGTGGCCACATGGGGGCGCTGTTGTATGGATTTTAGATTATATGGGTGACATACAAACTGTGGAGAAAGAATATAACACATAATAAAAGAGTATTTCATGTAATCTCTGTGTATTAAAGGTAATGTTGAGGTACCATGGAGGCCTGAGACACGTGAGCACAGGGTTAAATACACACATGAATAAATAAACACAAAGAAAACTCAGTAAAACGTGATAAACAGGCTGAAGTTTAGATTCCACTCCTGATTTGTCAGTTTTCGGTTTCTTTATTGTCTGCGTCTCGTTCGTCCTCAGCTCCCATCCACACCTACGTCCTGGGAGCAGCGAGTCAGGAGACGGCGAAGAAGTTCCCCGGAGCTGACGGCTGTGAGCTGGCTGAAAACATCACGTATCTGGGTGAGACTCTGTGACGACCAATCACCAAACAATCAAACTCCTGATTTATTAAAACATGAGAGAAGTTTTAATCCGACAAAAAGTTACTTAAAGTTTTCTTATATAAAGTTTCCGTGTTCAAACATCGTTCATGGCCGTGTGTCTCAGGTCGGCGTGGCGTGTTCACGGGCGTGTCCGGACTACAGATCGCCTACGTCAGCGGTCGGGAGGCCCCCCAGGAACCGGCCCCGGCTCACTGCTTCACCGCCAAAGATCTGTCGGCTCTCGTGGCTCCGCTGACCAGCAGCTCCAAGTTCAGAGGCGTCGACATCCTGCTGACGTCACAGTGGCCGCGGGGGGTGTGGCACTTTGCAAACAACCCGGTAACGAGGGATTTTTTTTTACGAAACTTTAGTTTTTTACTGAACTTCAAACGTCTACTCTGTGTGATGTGCATGAAAGCTCCAGAGCAGCTGTTCCAACGTCAAACGTCTTGTTTCCTTCAGAGATTGAACTCTTCGTTGTCTTCGTGCGTCTCTGTTGCAGGAAGTGAACACAAAGTTCTGTGGAAGCAACTCCGTCGCCAACCTCGCAGACAAGTTGAAGCCGCGATACCACTTCGCTGCACTAGAGGGCGCTCACTATGAGAGACTCCCGTACAGGTGAACTAGAAGAACGTCACAGAATATTTATTTTGCTCCTCAGGTTTTTTTTTAACTCAAAGTTCGACATTTAATCGAATAATGACGATGATGGTCGGTGACAAACGTCTGTGGTTGACACATCCTGACTGATCGTCCCTGTGTGTCTCTTGTGTGTCTCCTGTGTATCTC